TATAGTGCACTATCTGATGCGATACTGTAGCTGACGGCTGCATGGTTATAATTTTATAATAGTATCGATCTTGAAAGTAAAAAAGTTCATAAAATCATTACTATTGTGCTGTTGGGAAAGGTCTGTGTCTGTTGATGCTTTATTTCAATTTTTCCTTTCTCTTTGGAGTGTTACAAGCTCTTGGTAATGGTGTCGGACTGTTTTCCTTAATCTTCTTTAAAGGGGTCCTATTATGCTTTTTCACTTCTTCAACTTTAGTTAGTCTGTAATGTTGCTGTTTGAGCATAAAAAATATCTGCAAAATTACAAAGTTCAAAGTTCACTTCAAAAGGAGATACTTTATTTAACAGAAATCACTTTTCAAAAACTACAACGAACGACTCGTTTGGACTACAACGCACATTTTCCGGGATTTGTGATATCACAAATACCGACGAATGGGACGAGACCTGGTTGAGCTGCACTAGAGAAGGCAACGAGTGTTATCACTATGTCGGTGACACGCTAGCTTTCTCAAGGCAGACGAACTTAGAGTGGTTACAATCATCCGGGTTTAAATGGCGCTCAAATTGATTTGATTTTGACGCAATATTTACACTGAAGCTCGTAGGCGGCTATGGTATGGGGCATGACATTTCCCGACCAGGCGCCGAGTGGTGCCAATCACAACACACACTGGCCTTGCTAACCAATCACAGCACATTTCGTATTTCAGAAGGCGGGCCTTCATTTGATACAGGAACAATTCGAGCCGTTCATGCCAGACTGGGGAGAGAGGTGTTGTAATAATGTAAAATATGTGAAAAATAATGTGTTATTCGAACAACCTAGTATGAGAGCCTGTTCTTGTACACCCCCAAAACAAAATCAAGACTTTGTAAAAGAGCATAATAAGACCCCTTCAAGTGTAAAGGAGCAACCTTATCTAAAGTGCTAAAAAAGAGAGAGTCAATAGTTTCTGTTACACCATCAAGTTTTTCTGAACTATTGGATATGCTGAGAAAATGTACACAGAGCTGTCACTCCTGTTCTCAGTAAGACTGACACAAAGTAGATAACACATGTTTGATATTTGCATTTATTTTAATCAGAAACATACAACAGTGAAGCATAACTGTTGTTACAAACACTAACATTTGGATTAACATCTTTATGAGTGTGAATGTGTCTGTCTGACGAGCGCTGTATTTATTTGCTATTTACAGTGAACTATTCCTTTAAATGCTGGGGCAAGTTGAAGTAAAAAGGGCCTATTTTTGTCATACAAGGAAGGTTCCTTATTTAAAGATTTCCAATTAATTTATTTCCCTCAAAATGATGTATTTGCCCCATTTGGGCCCCATTAACTTATAACAATTGTTATGAACATATAAAGTAAAATTTTACAATGAATTTCTCACCGATTCCAGTTTGTATTAATAGGTTCTTGAAGGACTAAAGGTACTTGAAGGACTAAAGAAAAACTACATCTCATTCTAGCCTAAACTAGAATGTCCAGTTTGTCTGGCTTCTGTGACTGTGTTGAGCAATTGAGAGGCAGTGTAAATTTATAAATCTGTTTCAGAATAAATATTCATACTTTTTGCATAAATAAAGATCAGATATGAACCAATTTATATTTTGATACAGATAAAGTTAAGTAAAAAAAAAAAAAAATCCAGACCAGGAAATAATGATTTGTTTTGTAAAACATTTCCTTTTGTCATATTTGCATAGAAGCCACTCCCTAGTACTCTCATTCAGTACATAACTTCAAACATAACCTGTTTTACAATGAATCTTTGACTGGGTTTGAAAGCTCCAAAATGGCACAATTTTGTTTTGATGCTGAAAATCCTTTAAATTGTCCGATCTGTCTGAATCTGCTTACGGACCCAGTGACTACATCTTGTGGCCACAGTTACTGTATGGACTGCATTGAGAGATCCTGGGATCAGGAGGTTTATAAAGGAGTTTACAGCTGCCCCAAATGCAGGACAAAATTCAACCAAAGACCAACTCTCAGCAGAAGCACAGTGCTTGCTGAAATTGTAGATGGAATGAACCAGGAGGATCCAGCTGGCCCTGAAGATGTGCGGTGCGATGTTTGCAAAGGAAGAAAACTAAAAGCCATCAAGTCTTGTCTGGTGTGTTTGGCTTCTTACTGCCAATCTCACATTCAACCTCATTATGAGTCTGAAGCTTTTAGAAAGCACAAGCTGGTAAACGCTTCCTCAAATCTACAGCATCAGATCTGCCCTCAACATCATAAAGCACTGGAGATTTTCTGTCAGGATGACCAGAAGTGTATCTGTGTAGTTTGTTTGGGGGATCAGCACAGTGGACATAAAACAGTCTCAGCTGCAGATGAAATGGATAAAAAACAGGTAAGACAGTGTATATACAGTATGGGATGTTTTCAGGATGCATTATTTAACAGGGAATTTTTAATAAGAATGTGGGGTTGCTCAAAAGTTGATCTTGCTTAGCTCATGGAAATTGAAGTGAACTTCTCTCTTAAATTTCGTTTGCAAAGGAAGAAAACTAAAAGCCATCAAGTCTTGTCTGGTGTGTTTGGCTTCTTACTGCCAATCTCACATTCAACCTCATTATGAGTCTGAAGCTTTTAGAAAGCACAAGCTGGTAAACGCTTCCTCAAATCTACAGCAGCAGATCTGCCCTCAACATCATAAAGCACTGGAGATTTTCTGTCAGGATGACCAGAAGTGTATCTGTGTAGTTTGTTCGGGGGATCAGCACAGTGGACATAAAACAGTCTCAGCTGCAGATGAAATGGATAAAAAACAGGTAAGACAGTGTATATACAGTATGGGATGTTTTCAGGATGCATTATTTAACAGGGAATTTTTAATAAGAATGTGGGGTTGCTCAAAAGTTGATCTTGCTTAGCTCATGGAAATTGAAGTGAACTTCTCTCTTAAATTTCTTAAAGTCTGACCCACAAGATCCACTTTCTTTAGAGTTTAGTTCTAACCCTAATCAAACACACCTGAGCATGCTAATCAATGTCTTCAGGATCATTAGAAAATCACAGGTAGGTGAGTTTGATCAGGGTTGGAGCTAAACTCTGCAGCACAATCTTGTTGATTGTAAATCCGTTCACAGGAGGAGCTGAAAATAAAACAGAAGGATTTCATGCAGAAGACTAAGGACAGAGAAAAGAGGGTTCAAACGTTGAAGGAAGCTGTAGAGTCTCATAAGGTAAGTGTGATTGACAGCTGGGTTTGAGGCCAGTGTTGCAGTCAAAGTCCCTTTAAGGCAAGTCATTTCACGCAGTAGCCCTCTCTGAAAAACCACTCGGGCAGCTATTTCAGTCATCCATGTACAGCTCCTATCTCTTTGAATGGGGAAACATCAAATTCTCCAATACTGTTCACCAAGCTTATAATTAAATTTCATATCTGAAATCGCCAATGAAATATGACAACAAATGTCTCATATTCTATTTATTATGCTCAAAAAGCATTAAAAAGCTAATTTTTCAGGCTGGACCAACCAATGCACATGGACAGTCCTAAGCATGAGTCTTAGAATGCTGACTGTTTCTATAGCAACTGGAGCTTCTAATGGCAGCTGCAGTGACATGATGACTTTACCAAATAGTGAATGGATCTTTTATTGAGAAGGCAGGACTTATTCTCCCATTAATATCAGTGCATTGTTGTATATCTAAAGTCTTTGTATATGTAAAGTCGTTGTTGCAAATTAGGCTATTTTGAAAATTCAGGAAAAAAATACAAATACAGGGGTGTGTTTTTGGGCTGCTTTTGTCTCGTACCACAGCCGCAAATGTCTGTAGACATAGCTGCACGAATATGTTTTATCAGGGGGGTGCTGTATGGGCGGTTGGGGTTATGCCAGGCAGTGTTGCAGTGGGGGCTTTTAAAGTCTGCATGAAATCAAAATTGACACCATTTACTTTGTTAGAGGACATTGCTAGTCTTCGCTCACTAACACAGATTTAGACAGATTTGTGAACAATATTTGAGAGAAATAGGCCTTTTGTGTACATAGAAAAAGTCTTAGATCTTTGAGTTCAGCTCATGAAAAATGGGGGCAAAAACAAAAGTGTTGCGTTTATAATTTTGTTCAGTGTATATAAAGAAATAGAAGTATAGGGAAAAAATGTAATTGTTTAGACACGTGTTATAAGTGTGCAGATATGTTATTTAAAAAATACAGATGTTGTTTTATTATTCTCTCTCTGTTATTTATTACTTTTTGTGGGTTTCATGCTGTCCGCTAAGGCATAGGACACACGGAGACATATTATGCCCCTTTTTTACAATATGTATATAAGGTTTTCTGAGAGCACACATCCGAAGCACACGGACCGAGAGTGGCTGTCACAGCATGTGAGTACTAAACTAAGTTCTCATTCACACACAAGTTTACGT